GCGATGAGGTCTCCCCTCAGCCTCCTTTTCTCCAGGCTAAACAGTCCCAGTTCCCTCAGCTGCTCCTCGTAAGACTTGTTCTCCAGACCCTTCACCAGCCTCGTTGCCCTTCTCTGGACACGCTCCAGCACCTCGACGTCCTTCTTGTAGCGAGGGGTCAAGTAGCAGTACATGAAAAGTTAGTAATTCTATGAAACCACATCTGCTATCTAAAAACTCTGCTGAAAGCTCAGTCCTCTCTGACAGTGGAGAAGAAAGGTATCCCTTCACTCATCTGTCTGTCCCTTCTGCACTGGCACAAGGATTTATGTAGCAACACAACACACCCATCAAGGAACTGATCTGGACTAAAGCTAACCTGGGAAAAAAATGTTTCATTTCAACAGTGATCCATCTCAGTATCTGGCTGCACCGATACCTCTGCTAGCACAAGCGAGGGGGGAAGAACAAGCAGTCCGTGGCTGTTTATTTTAGCAGCTGCGCCACAGGGACTGCCCGTGAGCTGGTACACCAGGCCTCCGCTGCAGGTACTCACCAAACACGACGTGTTTTCCATCCAACCAGTCACATTTGGAGCACGTAATGAAAAACTGACAGCCGTTGGTACTTGGACCACTGTTTGCCTGGGGGTTGAGAATGGCAAAATATGAAAAGTGTACAAATTAGGACTTCCCAAAACTGAAGGCAGATGCATCTCACATAGGAAAGAGCTGTTGCTCTAGACCTAGCCTAGCGTATTTTTAGCTTATTGCTACAGAAACCAAAGGAAGCAAGATATACATCTGCAGGAGAGTACCCTGTGCTGGGATGTGGCACGGCACCAAGTCTGGTCGTGCCAGTGTGCGCAAGAGCCACGCCACCAACTTTTTATTATACTTCTACAAAGGCACGTTCAGCACAAAACTGTGCTGAAATGTGGGCTCTAGAGGATGCTCCTGAAAAACGGCTAATATTTTTGGCGATGAGTACTTACTGCCGCAGTATTGTCCTGGGGAAAACTGAAAGCCAGGAACCAGGGCAGAAAAAAAGCAGCTGTTTTCTGCTATTTGGAAGGTTTCCTCAGAATAGAAAAAAAACAGGTGTCTGTTCTGATGATCAGGATGAGAAAGGTAATGACCATAGTGGCACAGGATTCACAGGAACGGTGTCATGCAGATGTGAAATTTAATTCGCACCCAAGTGCAACACCCAGAGCATTTGTGCTCTGCTAAGAAAACATCTCTGCAACACTTCAGTCCATTTCTATTTTTCAAAGCTCTTCTGACAACCAGGAGGTACTAAAGCATGTTTCTGTGCTGACAAGTGAACTGGGCAAGTTTTGCAGCTGCAGGACTGCACAGGACATGGTCACATTGGATCTTTTCCTTAATTGTTGGCCAGCTTCGGAAGGATCCAGCTGGGATGGACCATGGTTTGGCCCAGCAGAATGGCTCCAGAGCCATGCCACTTTAACACAAAGCTGGTAATACCAGCGTGGGATCCCTTCTCCCACACTACAGTACACTGTTTGCTTAGCTGTGTCGTGACACCTCTTTTTGGGCCATGTTTTGAACTGGATGAATAACTAATCCAAATGGTAAATGCCCAAAACAAGCGGTTTTAAGGGCAGGGCAGCTGAAAGAGCTGGGGAAGAAGCAGTTGTGGATAGGAACAGTGAAGCACTGGCTCCACTTGCTTTCTGTTGCAAAAGTCAGTGTATTGTTCCTACCAGACAACATGCAATGGTTGCAGTTTTTCCTACAATGTTGAACAGGAAGCGTATGTTATAAAAGATACCATGGTAATGCTGCTATGGCTTTGAAACTCCCAAATCTCTTTGTTTCATCCTTGCTGAGGTCAGTGTTTGATAACAGTATCAGGGAAGAAAAAACACCACTGCTTGCCACTGCATGAAAACTGTAAGAATCAAGCTGTTCCGAAAGCTGATCAAACAAAGCCTGCCCCAGCACTCCAGCAGGTAAAAAAGAAAGGATGCTGCAGGATCAGGACTTTTGTGTTACTCAACACATTAACCCATGAGTAGCCTTCTGACTAGTGGTTACAAAGCAGGTCTTTCAGACCTTGTATCCAATGGTGGAGATTGCTGTTGTCTGACAAATAATTTATACACTTAGGAAAAGGGCACAGAGAAAGTACCAAAGGCTTTTTAGTCTTACAATGTCATTATTTTATACTCACCATAGAGAGCAGCCCAGGAGCAGAGTGCTTCAGCTTGAAGTTTTCATCTGCAAAAGGACCCCTATATATACTGGCTACTCCAGTGCCGTCTCCCTGTGCGAGAGGTGCCCAGTCAGCCACAGCATTTGTTCTGTAGCATAAATTTAAAATCCCCAAGCGAAAGGACAGCATTAAACTCAGCCCAAAGCAGATGCTGTACTACCAGCAGCAAACACATTCAGATGCTTCATTTCTGAAGAGGAACAGCGACTGGTTTCTAACTACACAGTACATCGTTTGCCATCCATATGTTGGCAGAAACCCATGGAGATAGTAAGGATTAAGTACAAGCCTCCCAGAGTGAGATGGAGGCTATAGATTGCTTGGTATGGACCCACCCGGACTTGGCAGGGAAAGGGGAGGGGACGTAGAAGTGTGGGCTGGTGTGACAAGGAAAGCAGAAGTGGTTGTGTGGAAAAAGTCGGCTGATGGTATGCTTACTTATTTCACCTTATTTTCTGTGACTTTACTGGAAACAGGGAAGTGATCTCTCTGTTCAGCAAGGACAGTTTCTAAAATACGGAGTTTCTAAATTTTTCTGCACTTTCTACCAAGTCGAGACATCTTGTACTTTCTACAAGCCCTAGCTCTCAGATCTCAAGACACTTATAAATTAAAGCAGCATGGCCCGTAACAGCTGCAGATTGCAAGCTTTGACTGCTCACGAGTTTATAACTTTGCAGAAGCCGGACGCATGGTTCACACAGGACACCTAGCTTGTGGGATTGCTGAAAGGCCACCCTGCTCTTTAGTCCAGCATTGCAGAGACACTCCTGTGTGATGCCAAAAGGACTGAGCAGGGACCCTTCAGTAGAACAGCCTTAAAGATGCTGCAGCAAGGAACCCTTCAGGGAAAGCTGCAGAAGCAATACAAACAGGTACCTCTGGCACGGTCAATTAAATTTACTATTCTGACAGTAATTTCCCTTTCTGTGTTGATTTTCCCTTTCTGTGTCGCTTCAGCCCCATTTCTTCTGCCTTGCTGCAACCTGTCTCCCTTCATTGCCTTTCTACTTGACGTTTACTTTCCTTATTAGGCTAAACTTAACAGGAAAATAAAGGAAAATAAGATGCCATGTGCAGCTCCACATCTTTTGCTCTGCCCTTGCGTCTTTTCCTCCTATTCTCTGTGGTTTACTTAAACTGTCAGCTCTGAGACAAGGAACATATACCCTATCTTAGTGGTCAACGTGACCGTTCTTGCTCCCCAAGTGGCTTTGTAATAAGTGTAATTTATAAATTACAAATACCGGTGCAATCTGTAATGCTTGTTGAACTTCAGTGGAAGAAATAAAGCCCACTGGGACATTTGAGCAGCATCACAATTAGCGACTACCTAAAAACCTGGTGTGGCTGAGCCACCCGCTGTGCGGTCAGTTCTCTCAGTGACTTTCATACAACCAAGTTTTATAAATTTTGTATTAAAAAAGCTTTACCACCCCTCTCATATTTTGAAACACTTCCAGAAATGAAATAATTTTACTGGGTCCTAGGACAATGAAGAGACCCAGAGGTCCTCCAGCCTTCCCCATATACTCTGCTTATCCCCAAGTCAGAGCATGACCACCGCTGCGGCACAAAGTCTTTTCTATATTGAGACAATTCACTAACAAAAAGATAGTTTTGATTTAAACTCTCTCTTGCACCAGATGCTTGGTTCTGTACTTAGGGTACCTCTCCACAAAGCTAGTAGAAATGCGCAGGGTTTCTTGTTTGGACAGAAGGAGGAAGGACAACAGGGTAAAAAAAAACAACTCTGCAAGTTTGAAAAGCCTCTAGCTGTACTGCCATGCTTTTTTTAGAGAGGAAATATTTTGGGAAGGAGCAGGTATGTTCACCCAAGACTCCAGATTTGTTTTCAAGGACATTATAGTCTGTTGCAGTAAGGTGGCAGCAATGCTATGAGGAAACCTCCAGTTACTACTGGGTACCTCAAAAGAGAGCCAACAGACCCCATACATCAGCACGGACCCTTGGAAACAGTTGCTATAATATGCATGTAGGAAAAGTACAAAAGGAATATAGAACTACATACGTTTACAAAGTCACCTCCTTGGATCATGAAATCCTTTATTACCCTAAAGAAGTAAAACAATACTTAGTTCTTGGTAGAAAAATGCCTCAAGAAGCTTAATATGTGATAAAAAGGAGTTCTGCCTCATAGCACAACAAAAGTTATCAGGGTCTATGAATGCTACAGTCTAAAATCCACAATAAATATTAACAACTGGTTGCTAGCAGGTAATTTGGGACCCATTGCTGTTCGACCAGGGATAGCGATTAGGCGACACGTGCCAGGAAACCGTCTCTGACCTGGCACACCAGGAACGGGGGATCCCTCCCACCGACCCCAGCGTACACGTCTGACAGCACCCCCAAGTCCCCCAAAGCTACAGAAGGACGGCATTAGCCGTGACCTACAAATGCCTCCCAGACCATTAATGCCTTTGAGGCAGGTCTCAAAACCACACGTAGCTCAGACTGCTATTTAAGTGCCTAAACAAAAGCAGAAGAATTACCTGTGGAAAGTGCTTCCTTTATAACCTATAGGGACACCGTCTTTCCTGCAAGGAGATAAAAAGGAAAATCGTTGCAGCTTACTGCATATCCCAACACAAAACCCTCCCAGGAGTTCAGAGTCCCCAGCGGTTGCCCTATACATTAGTAGCTGCCCTGATATACAACCGAGCGCTGCAGCCTGGCTCTCAGCTATCAGAGGTCAAGGGAAACCTCGAGTGGGCTCTGCACATTAAATGACACGGTTCCTTACAACATCCATACCATCATCTTAAGGGATCCCACTGCAATCTGCAGCAGGAGCAGGTGGGATGTGCAGGCACGGCTTTTCAGAGCAACCTGAGCACGAACAAAGTCATGCCCAAAAGGGAAAGTTTGCCATCTCCATGACTGACCGAGCCTGTCACAATTTCATCAGAGCAGACTTCCGTAACGCTTTCGTTTTGTACTGGTAGAGTAAGAAAAACTTCCAAGTGAGCCTTCTTCCTACTCACCCAGCCCTGTTTCTCTGAGTAGGCTACTGAAAAGGACACTATAACCCACTTACCTGAATTCACCCGTACAAAACTGCCTGGAAAACAAACAAGAGCAGAGCGTGAGCCACATTTGAACTCCAAGGACACAGAAGGCTGCATTCAGCGAATATGCACTGACTGTTGTGCAGGACTTTCCCTACTGCATCGGGATACCCCCAGTGAAACAGGAACCGGCAGTAACTGCTCCCCACTTCCATTTCAAAACAGACTTCTGCACTTTCTGCAGTTGAGGAGGTCAGATATTTAAAAATGAGAGAGGTTGTAAGAGACTGAACATGGAGCAGGCACTGTGTTTCACAGAGAACAGGGTATATTCATTTCTCCCGTGGAAGTGGGATGTCCAAAGTGGTACATCCTTCAGCCAGTGGCAGAGAACTCTTAACGTGACGTTAAGGTACTGCCTCTTATAAGCGCGCCGAGCGTATCAGAAGCTCCACAGAGGGAGCAGAGAGGGACTGGAGTCCTCCACCTTCCAGCCAGATGGGCTCCCCCGAGGGATCAGGATGCTGCACGGTCACATCTCTCTGGGAACAGGGAGAGGAGCAAAGCAGGTGCAGCGGTTCTGGGGGGCAGGTAGTCACTCTGCCACCAGAGACATTCCTGCACCATAAAGCCTTCGCAGCCCGGGTCCAGGCTGAGCTGCAGGAACGCCGGCTGCTCCTTACCTGAAGTTCTCTGCCGTTTTGGGTACAACATCGGCGAACAGCTCGATCTTCATGCGGCCGACCTCCTGGGGAGACGGTGGCCAGGTCAGCCTTCCGGGCCCTACTCACACACGCCAGCCTCCCCACCTCAGCACCCGGGGAACTCCCACAAACTCAACCTCCCGCTGCACCCCCTCACCCCTGCAAGCCCCCTCCTGAGGCAACCTTGCACCCCTTCACCCCTCCCCCGCAGCACTGCTGCAAGCCCTTTCCAATGCGCCCCTGTAACCCTACAGCCCCCCGACGCTCCCCC